CTGACCCCCAAGGGAGATATGTGATGGTTGAATTGGGCTTATATGGTAAGAAAGTACTTATAGTGGGACTATATGCACCAAATCAGCAACAGGAACAATTTTATAGACTCTTACATGAAAAAATAAATCTGCTGGACTACAGATCCGTGGTACTAATGGGGGATTGGAACGGTGTCTTAGATGTACAAAGGGACAAAAAAGGTTCCTCTCCTCTTCTTAAGCAGGCAAAATTACCTAAAGCCTTTTTTGATATGAAAGAGGACTGGGAATTACGGGACTATTGGCGGGAATGTAATCAAGAGGAGAAAGACTTTACCTTCTTTTCAGATAGACACCAATCCTTCTCAAGAATTGACTTCTTCTTGATTACAACGGACTTATATAATAGAGTAAAGAATGTCAAGATTTTCCCTAGGTCTTTGACGGATCATAGTCCAGTTTGGATGGAGTTGACTCAAGAAAAAGAGGAGAGAAGATCCTGGAGGGTGAATGAGAATTTATTTAGACAAGAAAAAAATGTTCAGAAACTAAAGGAGTGTTTAAAGGATTATTTTGCTTTGAATATGTATAAGGGGACTTCAATGTCAATGGTATGGGGTGCAGGGAAAGCATTTATGCGTGGGATTTTGATAAAAATGAATAATTGTCATAAGCAAAAACAGATTCAGAAACGTAAAGAATTGGAAGATGAAATTAAATTAAAAGAAAAGTCTTTGATTTTAAATCCTTCTGATGAAAGTATTAAAGAATCCTTAAAGTTGTTAAGAACACAATTTAATATGTTGTTAGCAGATCAAGCTGCAACCAATTTATTGTTTATGAAACAAAATACATTCTGTAATGCTAACAAGCCAGGGAGATGGCTGGCTTATCAATTGAGAAAGAAACAGAGACAGAGAACAATAGATAAAATAAATTACAAGGGTAAATTAGTTTCTCAGAAGGAACTGATTAAGAAATCTTTTTTGGATTATTATCAAAAATTATATAAATCTACTAATGTGCAAATTTTAGAGATAAATAAATATCTAAGCGAGGTTAGTTTCCCTAAATTGACAGAGGATCAGAAACATGAAGTTAATGGTTTAATTACTAAGGAGGAAATTTCGCTAGCAATTCAACAATTGAAACCAGGGAAAGCACCGGGTACGGATGGGTTAACAGCTGTTTATTATAAAGCCTTATTGGAGGAGATGATTCAACCATTAGGTGATCTTTTCAATGGCATTTTACAGGGTCAAGAGATTCCTCCCTCATGGCGTACTGCTTTTATATCATTGATTCCAAAGGAAGATCAAGATCTTACTTTACCAAAGAATTATAGGCCTATATCTCTTTTAAATGTGGATTATAAGATATTTGTAAAAATCTTAGTAAATAGGCTTATGAGGGTTGTGCACCACCTTGTGCATAAAGATCAATCTGGGTTCATAACTGGAAGGTACATGAAAAATAATGTCAGACAAATTATTAATTTATTAGAATATTTAGATAAAAACAACCAAGTTCCTGCAGGGCTGATATTTTTAGATGCTGAAAAAGCCTTTGATCAATTGAATTGGCATTTTATGTTAAGAGTAATGGAAGAGATGAATTTTGGTGAAAAGATATTGCAAGCTCTTATGGTAATATATCAAAAACAAACGGCACAACTTATCGTTAATGGAGGCTTGTCAGAGGTTTTTACAATAGAGAAAGGTACTAGACAGGGTTGCCCATTATCACCGTTGCTGTTTGTCTTAACACTGGAAATACTGTTGATCAAAATTCGAGAGTCGCAGGAAATTAAAGGAATAGAAGTTAATAAAAAAGAGTATAAGTTAAGAGCTTTTGCGGATGACTTGGTTATCACTTTGTCGCAACCTACTTATTCTGTAGTAAAATTATTACAGTTGATTCATAATTATGGTTTGGTTTCGGGTTTTAAGATTAATGTTAATAAGACTAAAATTTTACCTAAAAATATGACTAGTCGGGAGAAGCAGATTTTGGTTAATTTGACGGGTTTTGAAATTGTTAATAAGGTAAAATATTTGGGGGTGATGCTATCTGTTTCTAATGCAAAATTATTTAAAAATAATTATGAAAGGTTGTGGGTTAGGGTACAGAGAGACTTGAAGAATTGGGAAAAGTTGCAATTATCCCTCATGGGAAGAATTGCAGTGATAAAAATGAATATTCTACCCAAGTTTCTCTTTTTGTTCCAAATGATACCGATTTTGAAGAATGAGATCAATTTAACTGAGTGGCAGAAAGGCCTTAATAAATTTATTTGGGCAGGGAAAAAGCCAAGGGTTAAGTTTAAAATTATGCAAGATTTCCGTGAGAGGGGAGGACTCAAGGTGCCGAATTTGAAATTATATTATGATGCGGTGGTTTTAACATTAGTTAGTGACTGGGTAAATTTGACAAATTCTGATATACTTCACTTAGAGGGATGGAATTACTTTTTGGGTGGCATGCCTATTTAATATTTAATAAAAAAATGGATTGGGCTTTTAAATCTCATATCTTAAGAATTTCTTTACTTAGGGTTTGGAGAAAATATTATAAAAGTGATTTCAAAGTACCATTATGGGCTATACCTTGGCATGCAATAGAAGGAATAAAAAGAGGGGTTAAAATGGATATGGTGTCTTATAGACAGTTACTTAAATGGGATGGACAAAACTGGCAGTTAAAATCACGGGAAGAGTTAGCACAAGAAAATATTATTTATTCTTGGTTCCAATATAGGCAATTATTAGATAGATGGAAGATGGACTGTAAGGTGGGTTTTCTCAGAGAAGATGAAAATCTTATTAAGCAAGTGAAGGATCAAAGACAAACCCACATTAAGAGGATTTATGGGGTTTTAGTTGAATTGGATTCAGAAACGGAACTAATTAAAGATTGTATGATTAGATGGGCGCAGAATTTTGGTGAGCCAGTTCCATTGGACACCTGGGAAATTATTTGGGTGAGAAATGTCAAATTTACACAAGCACAGAACTTAAGGGAGAATTTTTATAAAATGTTTTATAGATGGCACCTTGATCCACAAAAAATGTCTTTTATGTACCCTGACTTACAACCTAAATGTTGGAGATGTGGTTGTATGGACGCTACTTATTATCATATTTGGTGGTCGTGCAGAGAGATAAAAGCATTCTGGATTAAGATATGGTGGAATATCCAGAGAATTTTTAAAAGGAGGGTAAAATTTACTCCACAATTATTTTTGTTAGGTATAGTTATTGATTGTGATACAAAGGAGGTTATATTGATGTTAAATTTGATTACAGCTGCGAGGCTGTTAGTAGGACAATATTGGAAGAAGGAATCTTTGCCTACATTGCAGGAATGGTTTCTTAAAGTGTCTCATTTGGCGGAAATGGCAAAGATTTCGGCTTTCTTAAAGGGTCAAACGCAAGAGAAATTTCTTGCTGTTTGGGATAAATGGATAAAATTCATACAATTTAAATTTGATATAAAAATACTATATAGTTTTTTCATAATTTTTAACTTTATATATATATATATATTTCTATTTTATATTCTTTTTTTTATAAATATAAATTTTTTTAACTTTTTTTTAATTAAGCCTATATTCTGCTCTGGGAGGCCCTGGGGGGGGGAAGGGGGGGTTTGGGTAGGGGTGGGGGAAGGGGGGTTTTGTTGGGTAATGTTTGTTTTTTATTTGTATATGTTGTTTTTTGTTTTTGTATTGTCTTTTATTTTCTGTAAAATTTATAAAACTCTTTTAATAATAAAAAAAAAACATGAAGGCATATGAGGAGTCTGTAATTTTTATATACTTTTTTTTCCTGGGAAATTGCAAATTTCTGTTATATCATACCTCCTAATTCAAAGTATTGAAGTTGGAAGTGAGCTTCATTTTTCTTTATTAACTCAGTTTGAATTACTGGGTCACAGAGTAAGTCACAGAAGAGTTTTGGAGATAAGTTGTATTAATATACCAATAATACTTCTCATTAACATCTGAATCAAATGAGGATAAACATATTCTGCACTGAATGTAGTGATGGGCTAAATGTCAATAAACTGGGAATAAATTAACCAAATAAGTGTTTGCTTGTTGTGGGAACTGGTGAATTTGCTTGTTCTATGTAGAACTGTGTTCTCTAAAACACAAACATGAAAACGCTTACTCCTAACATCCTTACTTGAAAGCCCAAATTACCATCAGGAATGACTATTTATTGCTTTTTGTATTTGAATAATTTTATTGCAAACCATTTTGAGACGTGATCATTTAGAAAGTGATAATGTGCGTGGATGGTTGCCTTCAGGCCAGTTTGATTCCTGGTGACAGCCTGGAGAAATCTATGCTATGTTTTCTGAACATGATTTTGGAATATTAGCTATTACCTCCTTCCTAGGACTGAGAGAGAGTGACTGGTCTAAGGACACTTAGCCGACTTAGGCAGGACTAGAACTCACAGATTCCTACATTGAAGCCTTTTATCCTAACCACTATACCAAACTGGTTCTTATAGAAAGGAATATAGAAGTAATTCAGTAGAGTAAAATAAATGTTTTTCAGTGCATGGCTGGCAGTCCAAGGACTATCTTCTAAAACTTAGTGATCAAGAACATTGCATGAGAATAAATGGTGTCAATAAATTCTTTATACAGGAATCCTTTATACATAGAGCACTTGATTAAGAATATCTTTCTTGTATCATATTTTATATAATAAAAACTGATAATATACTGATGCTTTAAAATATCAGAGACTACATGGTTATTAACTATATAAATATATTTGGAAAATATAAATATCAAAAGGCATGGAGAAATATTTAATAAATTATTTGTCTGACAAATAATTTTGAGACAAGATTTTCATTGAAAAACGTAGTGAAAGGAAAACTCCTCCACAAATGCCATTTCTAAAAGCATTTAGGAAGGAAAAAAGAAATATTCTTAACATTAGTTCTAAGATGCCCAACAGTACAGGTCAAGGTAAATTAACATAAAGAGTTTATGAAAATAGGACAGTTGTAAATTATTTATTCAAAAGACTCCTTAACTACAAATAGAACATTATGCAACACTAGAAATATTTAAGCTAAAAAACAGTGTACTGATTTTTCTAGACAAGTGCCAATATAATAAATTTCACAGTGTAGAACCCAGAATTGTATAAAGAACCCCTAACCAACTTTTTCTTAAACCCAACTCCAATACTGAACAATCACTCCTCCAAAGTTAGGCAGACAGTTATTTATATGAATTTGGGTGATTAGACTCATTTCTTTTTAGCAACTGGATTCCAGTCAAGCAAAACAGTCAGTAAATGAAAATCATGGTAGTGTAGGTGTGACTCCAAGTGTATTTATGGTTTATTTCAGTTTTCCACACTCAAATTTCATTTATCTTTTATGGAGTGGACATTTTTAACAACATTTTGTACATTCTACTTCAAATATCTAATTCTAACATATTTTTGCCATAAAACATTAATAATTTATTACATTAACTATTACATTTATTATAGGGTCCTTCCAACTGTTATTCTATTACTATCTTTTAAATCTTTGCATGTTATTGTGACAATTTAAAACTTTAAAACATTTTTAAGCTTTGGTTTAATACTGTATGCATATTTTTGTGCCTAAATAGAAATTCAATGTATGAAAAAATGGTTTATTATATAACTACTAAATAAGACATAATAGTCCAATATAAAAATTAAAAGAGAGAATATACATCAGAATTTACACTTTACATTTCCTGTAAACATTAAATTAGTTAAATCTTTGCCAAGATCTTTTCTGTTGGATTCTCTGGATGATGGGGAGGGAAATGGAGTTGAGGAAGGAGTAACTTTCTTAGAAAACTCATTAAATTTGATTTGCCTGTTTTTTTCTTTTGTCTTTATATATTTCACAATTGACACATTAAGATTTCATGTATTTCCTGGAGTACCTTTCCAAAACTTTCTACATTTGAATCCATACCAATTTTTCTTACAATTAAATCTTTGTTTGAAAGCTCTCATTCAGTCTAGGATATCACGCTAAAATTGAGAACATTTTTTTCCACATCTTTCAGTATTAACCTCTAAATCAAGAGATTTCATGCGTATTGGCATTTTCTTGTTTATTTCATCCAAATTTTTGTTTTGGCCAAATTCTTCAATTTTATTTACAAGAACATTTTTTTCAAAAATCTTGCATTTATTTCATGCTAATATCCTGTCATGCTGGTGTTATAACCTGGCGTATGAAACAATTCATAAATCAATCTTCAAAGAGGGCTTGTCTCATTCAAGTCTTCCAACCAGATTGGTAATAAACAGGTAGTGTATAGGAGTTATCTGATTTGTAGATCAAAAATGGTTTCAGCTTGAATCTGGTAACTGTTTGCCCAATAGAAAGGTTACTGTATTCTCAAATGCTTTACATCCAGGCATTGCTTTTGCCTCTTTGCGTACGAAGGTCCACTCTGGCATTTTTTCCCCCAGTATAACCTGGTTTTGTTCACACTGAATATTTGTTCAAGCAAATAGTTCCCTTCTGTTATGGATGAACTTGATGTTCATCCAGAAAATGTTTGGCAGCTTCTTTGTCAGGGCTTGCATCTTAATGATATTTGGGAAAGACCTTGGGAAATGGGACAAAAAGGGCTTAAAGGAGATAGTGGAAGAGCTGTACTTTGAGACTTGCAATATTCTGTTAATGCAGTTTTACAATAAAATAGAATCAGCTTATTTGGTCATGTTTCCTGTCTGGTCTACTGGCTAAAGCTGACATGTGTATTTGTTGTGGTAATTAAATCTTTGCAGAAACTACCTAAGCCAGCCATGATTGACCGCAAATGTTTCCATGCGCTCCTCACCTGCTTGTTTCTTCAGTGTTCTGAACTGGCATGCTCTTTTGTATCTAATTTTCAATCCAAAGAATAAGGAGTTTTTTTCATTTCCTAATTGAGGCCATTTTGGTGTCTTATATGTGTTATAACTGTTTTCATTCCTGATAATCTTTTTATCACCTCTCTAATCTAATGATAAAGGACCAAAATGGCAGGGACCTAACAGAGGCAGAAGAGATTAAGAAGAGATGGCAAAACTACACAGAAGAACTATACAAGAATGAGCTTAACATCCCAGATAACCACAATGAGATGGTCACTGACCTCGAACCAGACATCCTAGAATGTGAAGTGAAATGGGCCTTAGAAAATCTGAGCAACAACAAAGCTAGTGGAGGTGACAGTATTCCAGCTGAGCTATTCAAAATCTTAAAAGACAATGCAGTAAAAGTGCTACACTCAATATGCCAGCAAATTTGGAAAACTCAACAGTGGCCACAGGATTGGAAAAGGTCAGTTTACATTCCAATTCCAAAGAAAGGCAATGCCAAAGAATGTTCAAACTATCGCACCATTGCACTCATTTCACATGCTAGTAAAGTTATGCTTAAAATCCTACAAGCTAGACTCCAGCAGTATGTGGATCGAGAACTACCAGAAGTACAGGCAGGATTTCGAAGAGGCAGAGGAACTAGAGATCAAATTGCCAACATACGCTGGATCATGGAGAAAGCTAGGGAGTTCCAGAAAAAACATCTACTTCTGCTTCATTGACTATGCAAAAGCCTTTGATTGTGTGGATCACAACAAATTGTGGCAAAGTTCTTAAAGAGATGGGAGTACCAGACCATCTCATTTGTCTCTTGAGAAACCTATATGCGGGTCAAGAAGCAACAGTGAGAACTGGACACGGAACCACTGATTGGTTCAAAATTGGAAAAGGAGTCCGGCAAGGCTGTATACTGTCGCCCTGCCTATTTAACTTATATGCAGAGCACATCATGAGAAAGGTAGGGCTAGATGAATCAAAAGTTGGAATTAAGATTGCCGGAGAAATATCAACAACCTAAGATATGCAGATGATACCACTCTAATGGCAGAAAGTGAAGAGGAACTAAAGAGCCTCTTGATGCGGGTGAAGAAGGAGAGTGCAAAAGTTGGCTTGAAACTCAACATTAAGAAAACCAAAATCATGGCATCCGGCCCTCTCAATTCCTGGCAAATAGATGGGGAAGAAATGGAGGTAGTGACAGATTTTATTTTTCTGGGCTCCAAGATCACCTCAGATGGGGACTGCAGCCAAGAAATTAAAAGACGCTTCCTGGGGAGGAAACTATGGGAAATCTAGACAGCATACTAAAAAACAGAGACATCACCCTGCCAACAAAAGTATGTATAGTCCAGGCCATGGTTTTCCCAGTTGCAATGTATGGCTGTGAAAGTTGGACCATAAGAAAGGCTGAGCGCCAAAGAATTGAGGCCTTTGAACTATGGTGCTGGAGAAGACTCCTGCGAGTCCCTTGGACTGCAAGGCGTTAAAACCGGTCAGTCCTAGAAGAGATCAACCCTGACTGCTCTTTAGAAGGCCAGATCCTGAAGTTGAAACTCAAATACTTTGGCCACCTAATGAGAAGGAAGGACTCACTGGAGAAGGGCCTAATGCTGGGAAAGATTGAGGGCAATAGAAGAAGAGGACGACAGAGAATGAGATGGCTGGATGGAGTCACTGAAGCAGTAGGTGTGAACTTAAATGGACTCCAGAAAATGGTAGAGGACAGGAAGACCTGGAGGAACATTGTCCATGGGGTCGCGATGGGGCGGACACGACTTTGCAATTAACAACAACAACAATCCTTTCCTTGTCCTTCAAAATAGTGAAGATTGTGGAATGGGCCAAATTGTCTTCTCATGCTATAATAATCATCTATAAACTTCATCTTTAAATTGAAACTATAATATTCACATATAATCTTCATCTTCAAATTGAGATCAATGGCTTTTCTTTGCTTTTTGACACTTTTTTCAACTGAACTATCGTTTTTTCTCTTTGAAGACATCTTGGTATGGGGTATTAATGGGCATAAATAAGTAGATAAACAAAAATAACAGGTTATACGTGATACTAACTATAATAGCAAACATCTGACTGAAAAAGAAAGACAGAAATTCTGCAAAGGTCATAAATGCACACAATGGGTGCAAAAATATTTTTTTAACCATCATATTTGTGAATGGTTGCTAATCAATTTAGTTGCTACATGAAGAATAGCTGTAATTTATTCATTCAAATCCAAAAAAACACATTGTTTTGGATCCTGGAGCAATTCATTTTCTTCTTGCTAAATTTTACCACAACCATTCAGGTGCTTTTAAACTAACACGTGTCAGTGATTAAAACTATCATATTTTCATTATCAGTGGCCGAAGAGATGCTATTCTGTGTGTAGGCATGTTTCTATGTAACTGGTGGGAATGTCTGCCCAGCCTGCCTCCTGCTACAATTCTCAGATTCCTTATCCTCTTCTCATAGACTATAAGATACCTTTACATCTGAAGTTTATTGAGAAATAAAATAGGAATCACAATATTGGCATATAAAAACTTCTGATAAAAAAATGCTTTTTGAAAGTTATAAATAACTCATAACTTAATTCAGGATTCTCACATAATTTTATTTCACTTAAGAAAGGAAAGAAAAATGTTGAGCAAATCCTAACTTGTACTGAATTTTTAATAGTTTTGCACAAAAATGTATTATAACTGATATAACTTGAAACTTACCTGCCATGATGGGGGAAACGTAGGTGATGAAGCGATATTTACAACAGGAGGGTCTAATATTTGCATATTTGTTACATCAAAGTTGGGATTTATCTGTTGAAAAATAGATTTGCTATTATTCTGTTCTTAAAAATTAAAGATTGAATGCTTAAAATAAACATTATATATTTAATTATTTAAGAAAAAAATTTCAGGATATAGTTAGGGAAAAAAATCATACTCACAACAGGTTCCTTACTTTTTTTTTTACAGTTTGGATTATATCAAGTTTATTTTGCTTTTCCTCAAGACTGAGGATGAAATTTATTTAATGTCATGTCCTCTGATGAGTCAATTGGGTATCTACTATATCTGGATTTCAGTTATCTTTATAGCTTCTGGGAAATTTCATTTAAAACATGTGAATGCATTAGTTTAACTACCCCTTTCTTAGATAAAGTAATAATTTTAAAAATTACCTAACAGTAGTTAACAGTAGTTAAAGCAGATGTATATAATGTCATTGTAATACAAAGTTTTGTTGCACTGACAAAACCCTAAAACAAGAGTTGTTCTCTAGGAGACCCTAGAATAGGGTTGTCAAATTGCCGGTCTGCAGGCTGGATGTGTCACACCAAAACCACACTCACCCCAGTGCCGGCAATGGGAAAAAAGTTGTGATATGTTGTGACACATCATGTGACATCATGAATTTGACACCCCTGCCCTAGAAAATGCTTCAGGAATTCCATAAAAAGAAGTGGGAGACTTTGTGTTGCATGTAGAGCAGAAGTAAAAATTTTATAAAGCATGTCCAAATTATTAATATAAAAATATTGCCCCTACTACCCTCATAAAAGTATAATGAAGAATGCTAAAAGTCACTAAAATACATCTAAAACACAAATGGATTCACTACAGTCAGCATCATGACATTAAAAATCTCTTACAGCTATATGGACATATTCAACCTTAGTTTCAACTGCGAAACTGACCATCCTTAACCAAGCTAAATTCAAAAAATGCTAGGAATTCCTGGAAGCCTAGAATTCAGACAAATCAGCCTTTGCTGAACACATAGAAATAAAGTATATTTCTGCTCCATTCAAAAGAGACAATAAAAAAGCTAAGAAGGAAATAAAAAACCCCAAAACATCCTCTCCAGCATTCAACACCCGGATAAACAGGGATTAAGGTAAAGACTTTGCCTCTCCAGTTGTGTCTGACTCTAGGGGGCGGTGCTCATCTCTGTTGCTTAATCAAGGGAGCCAGCATTGTCCAAAGATATTTCTATGATCATGTGGCCAGCAAGATTATATGCTAAAGCGCATGGAATGCTATTACCTTCCCAACAAATTGTTATCTATTTATCCACTTGCATTTGCATACTTTTGAACTGCTAGGTGGGCAGGTGCTAGGGCAAGCAATGGAAGCTCATCCCATTGCGCAGCGCTCAGATCTCGAACCTAGGCTGTCAGCTTTCCAGATGAAAAGCTCAGCATCTTTAACCATTGAGCCATCACACCCCTAAACAAACGGGGATTAATACCAGACAACCAAGCAAAATATAATAGCCAAATCAATGCACTAGATATAGAGAAACCCCCTCCCCCATCAAAATTGGCAAGGGCAAGCTACTATATATAAACAGGGAGCAAATCTCACACTCACACTGATGAAATTATCTACCTGGGTAATGAAACATCTGCAAGTAAAATCAAGCTTAAAGAGTACTAAAGACTCCACATTAAAATACCCTTTGTACATTAAAGCTTCTAAAATTAAAATTACCTTGAGACAAGATGGACAGCCTATAAATTTTACAAACAAATAAATAAAATCTGACTTAAGTAAGCATCTGGATATTGACATGATTCTCTAAAGGAGGTGGGGAAATTACTTAAAAGGATATTTTCTACTGTGCTACTTTTTTTTTTTTACTTTGATGGATAGGCCTATAACTGAGGCTTGATAAGTAGATCCCAGCAGATAATGGCATAACAATGGAGTTTCATGAAAGGCTTTAAAAAAACAATATTGTAATTTCAATTGACATAGAAACTAAGTGGAATCTATTGCAATAGCTGCTAAATGACTGCTAAATAGATTAAACAGGCTAACCTTTCTACTAATATCTTTTAATAACCTTAATCTAAAATATTTCAACTTTCTCTTCTGTGCGATCATATTGAATATAACACCATGGGAGCATTATATAAATTATGTAACTGAAATGTTCTTTAAAATGTTCTTTATCACCACATTTATTGTTCTATTGTATTAAAGCTACTTAATATAAGATAGCACTATCAATATTTAAAAGCGCTCTGATCCTAAAAAAAATCCTGTTATATATTAGGATGGTTTCTATTCAACAAAATATTCTTAAATATTAGTGCCATCTAGTGTGTTAATGCTATAATAAGCTAGTAATATAAAATACTATGTAAAACATATACATCCATCATATATGGGACCCATATTAACATTATATGAACTATATTGTCTGTTACTCCATAATTAAGTCTCTATTCTCAACAACCTTTCTTAAACAGAGTGATAACTGTCAATGTGGCTATGTTAAGAGGTGGCTTTTTAGAGTGTATACTAAGTGTTTCACGGCCAAAGAGGTATGTGGCACCTTTCAAATCCAGTGGCACATGTCATGCCTGATCACTGCAGGACCTGGAGGAGCATGAATTTAATTCACAGGTGGCAGAAATCATGGTATAGAAGAGTCTGTCTTCTTCAGGTTCCACAGACTCAAAGGAATTGTAAATGGACACTTGATGTCGCTTAGCCCACATTGCTCTGTCAAATTGGCATCCAAACAATAGCAACTTTATCCACAAGGAAATTCACAAATTCATTTTTTCCCTCCCCATAAAAGGGCTATATCACTCTGAACAGAGTCATGAGATAGGAATGCATACACACATTAAACGCAAAGAAATGTTTACTGCTTTTATTGCCACTGAATATGCTCAAACATGAATTCATACTAGAATCTAGTTGTGTCCTGTTTTTCTGCCATTGGCTAGCCTACCGGTATTTAGAATATAGTTGCCTGTGTATTAATTGGTAATTAGGAAGAAGTGAGAGAAAGGAAGGCTTTAAGGCTTTAAAGTCAGAGTTGTTCCTTGGCAGCCTACCCTCCACCCTCAACATACATTTGTAACTGTGCTCTATAACCGGCAGGGGAAGACCTTTTAAAAAAAAAGATTAATGAGAAATACTACATTCACTGAGTTTAAAATGCCCAGTTTCAGGAGAAAGAATAGAAACTGTGGATGGTAGAGAAGAAAATGAATGTAAAACTCTGGAAAAAAAATATGATCAAAAGCTCAGTCAGTAATCCTAAAGAAATATTTACACTGAAAAACTACAGATTCCAGCTATAACTAATAAATTGTTATTAAAAGCCATAATAGTTTACCTCAACTGACTGTGATTTTGCATCATGGCAATGAGGGGATCGAGGGTAAATATCCAGAAGGTGAGGTGGATCATCACTATGTAATCTTTGCATATGCTTTTCCAGAACTTGCTTATATTCAGATGCATCAAAATTTGTTTTCCAGAGCAGCACCTGTAAGAAATTTGCTAGTTTCATGAATGCAGTTTTTTCATTTGGTAATTAAACATTTAACTGAATATTCAGTTTATAGTAAAGCAACAAGACATATAGTATAATTTAACTAAAGGGAAAGTTTGCTGACTAAAAACATCAGACAATAATTTTATAATCAACATACTTGAAAAATATATTCCTCTAATTTGATAATAAAATATTAATTTAGTGAACTTATTGAGAAGTGTTATTTATTAAGAATGTAACTATTTTAACAAACCTGTGTATCTGTGCCACCAGAAGCAAATGTCTCCCCATCTTTTGAAAAAGCTACAGAAAGCACCGGGCCCTAAATTTTTAAAAAAGAACAGAAGGGAACAAGATAAATATATATTTTAAAAGGCATAATCTTTTAGTTTTTTTATACTTTCTCCCTTCTTATTTAATCATCCTAAATTGCTAATAAACAAGTAATATGTAATGGTTAAGCATATTTAGTTGGCATATTATGCATGCAATATTTGTCCAATTGATATTTTTTAACTGATTATGTGCCATTAAGTTATTTTTGATTCCTAAGAACTACATAGTGCTGGGTGTTTGCATAATTTGTTCACATTAGGATAATTAAAGATATAGCTCCAGTATAATTGCCACAGGTTTTCATTACACTAACTTTATCATTCCATGGATAGAAATTAATTTTTATGATGAAAAGAACAAGGTCTTAAAAGCAAGTCCAAAAATAGAGATTGTACCTCATGCCCGTGAAGTGTGTATAAGAGTCTTCCTTCTACAAGATCCATTATCTTAAGTGTTCCATCACTAGATGCTGTTATGAGAAAGTTACCAGAAGGATGGAAAGATGTGTAATTAACACTTGCCCTGTGAACTGATTTAAATAAAAGTAGTTCAGATATTGAAGCAAAAAAAAAAAAAAGTTCTGAAACAAAACAACAATATAATAACATTACTGACCACCAACACAAACTAAGAACAACAATAAAGCTTACCTCCAGGATTTGGTGCACAGGGTTGTATCCTATGACTGATATTTTTAAAATGCAGTTCTAGTAAGTACTGTATTTTCAGGTTTTAACTAGCTTTTACATCACTGTATCTATCATTCTCCTTCAATGTTATCCTCCACAGGTATGCAAAATGCTTTGAGTTTGGAATGTCTCATAACTAAGTTACATTCACACCAAGGGATCTGTAACTGACTAAATTTATAAAGGGGTATCCTGAAATCCATTTTCCTATCCATATTATCTAGAGTTCCTACAATAGCTTATTTTCATTGCTATTGTTCAAAAAGTCTGCTTACTTAAGTTTTCCTGTTCTTCTTCATTCTTCTGCTTCACTAATCAGTTATTTTAATTTTTACATTCCAGATCATTTAATAAGATTTTGATTTGGAAAAAGACAAATTTATTCCGTTATATGTTGCTGTTCTATATTGTACACACTGCAGGAATACAGAATTATTAACATTCCACCAACATTTTAGAATGGAGGTACAAACCTGAGCCCCAGAATACACACCAATATGAATATATAGCTATTTAAACAATCCTCTGTTTCTGCCAAGCAGAGCTTTTGAATCCAATATATAAGGAACTAGGCTTGGAATATTCATTAAGTATTCCAAAATTCTGCACAGCTAAATCAGTCCCCAAATATGTAAGACAGTATACTTTTATATTTGTTTTTTCTGCTAAGCACTAAAGCTATTTCCTAGCCCTATGAGAGAATTGTAAAAATTAAAATACTTATTAAAAAAAACTAGAGAAAATTGAAAAATAAAGTGAGAAATGGGCAAGGCTACCAATGAAACTTCAAAGTTTGCAAAAGAAAAGCCAACATAATTTCTGAGAGAGAAAAAACTGTGTACTAAAGCAGGTACATTTGTGATTGTAAGAGAAATATGAGATTTTCTGATTTTGAGGCCTCATTAACTGTACACTGAACCCCTTTAAATAAATAACGGGTAATTTACATAAAAAGTAAAAGTAACTGGAGTACTGGGTGAAAGCGATTACATAATGATACAGTTCTTCATTTTAAACATTAAAACTAATCTAGTCTAATACATTTATTGAATTTCTTTAAAAAAAGATTTTAATGCATTCAGAGCAGGCATAAGAGGAATTCTGTGGCAGAAGAAACTAAAGGGCAGAAAAAAAGCTAAAAATGCGCGGGAGTTCCTAAAAAAGAAGATACAAAAAGCACAACTACAATAGAAGACCTGGAGAGAGCAGAAGAAAGTTTGTACCTGAAGAATTAGATAATTAGTCTTTCAACACCAAAATTACAAGACTAATGTTTGGAATGTCTGTAACCAACAAATCCAAAAACAATACACGAAAAACTGAGTGCTTTATTAAGTCATTACCTCTTTACTCAAAAAAGAATATTAATATTTGATTAAAGATGTGATTCTACTGCCATCTTGTGGTCTTAAAAATCATTACCATTCAGTTTTTATGAGGTTTAGTATAATTTAATCTTTAAATCTACAAAATACCATACCTTAATTGGAAATTTTCTAAAACAATCATCAGCAATACACAGACTAAATAGCATTTCAGACTGTGAAAAGAAGAAAGGAGGCATGGGTAAAAGAAAGAAGCGCCATGGCACCAGCCCGAGATCTCTCCCACCAACGAATAATGCAAAACAACCAAAAATTGAGGAGCACTTTGCTGGCAGGTGACTTGTAAGTAAAACTATCCCCCCCTCCTTCATTTCCAACAAGTCAGAGAGATTAGAATGGGACCTGCAAAGAGATCTGAAAAAACAGCAGATACTGGACTTTTCCAATCTGGGGGGAGGGGAGCAAAATGATAGCCAGCTATTTTCACAAACAATGAGTCCAGCTACAGCTCACATGGAGACTAAGATAAAGACTAAAAAGGTTAACAACAACAATCTAATTCAGAGTGGGGAGAGCTTACCATGGGAGAATACAACAGAGTTTATGGCAAAGCAATGTCTTCTCACAGTGCAAACGGTAGTTTCAGTATTTGAACAATTAATAACCATTCAACATGATGTGGAGACACTGAAAAAAGATATAGCTGTTCTTCTCCAAGCACAACATTGGGCTATGGGCACCCCCACTGAAGTCCTTACAGCTGACTTGGGTAAATCCAATACTCAGGAGAGGGAAGAAAAAAATGAGGAAAATGAACACAGACCCTGGGAAACAGATAAAGAACCTGCTAAAAAGTGGCAGCCCATTCAGAAAAATAGTCCTTCTCCAGCTAAGGCAACAAGAGAAGGTATTAATAGAGAAGTTTCATGGGAAGACAATAAAGTATCCCACCTACAATTACACCAATCATATCAATCATATCGCTCACTAGAAACACATCAGGTTGTGCTGAGAATCCACATGAACAGGCTTAATCATGGTCGCTGGAATACCAAGAGTGCTATACTAAATTCCCTAAGCCAGCTTCTTCACTGTCACTGGGGGCAGATTGATCTACGTACTGCGGAGTGGCTCCCTGAGGCCCCAAATTGGAAGCAGATATTTCTCTCCTTTAAGCAGCCCACCATACCTTTGATACTATTTAAGATGAAAGCACATCTAGCCTCTTTTCAAATCTCTCCCATCAGAGTTTTCTGCAAGGAAAGGGTTAAACCCTTAATTGTTAACATGCGAGCTCCCAAGGTTGCTGTCTCTTCTGCATTCTCAACCCTGAGAAAGGGAGAGGGAGAAAAGTGGGAGTAAGCCAGCCCCATTCGGTGAAGATGTACTTAATAGCACAGAAGCTGGTCTTATTAATGCTTTTGGCGCTCTCCCAAGGAGTGAACAAGATAATACACTATTCAAGTTAGAAAACCTAAAGAAATCCTGGTCACAATCGATACGGCTGAACTGCTTATTGATTTGGTTTCCCATATAATTGAGCCTCTTACTTTTCCCCCAAGGGGCAAGAGTTCGCAAGAACATGAGTTCATGGAATATGAGTTCATGGAAAGCAGAAGCCAAGATACACAGGGGTCAGTAGAGGCCCCAATAGAGAAGGAGATGTTAGCATCCTTATGTGACTTCCCGATGAAGCCCTGCTTTGACGTCCTTGGATATCGGCCGGCCCCACAATCCCCCAACCAGGTCGTCTCTCTTGGGGTGGAGGGAAAGGCGAATGACTGGGGAGGCCGGGTACCAGGGGGTGTTGGCACGGCACCATGCTGCCAACCCCATCTGGAATGGTCAAGCCTCTAGGATCAGGGCTGGTACCCTGGACCTGCGATGTTCTGCCAGAGGATGGCCCCCAGACGTCAACCCCTGGATCACCTAGCCACGCTGTTTGAGGCTGTGTACCTGTAGAACCAGTCCCAGAGGCTCCTGTTGTAACCCTGCCCACCGACTGCGGCAAGCGGAGCCTGGGATTATTAAGCCGGAAATGGGAGGTCTCTGTGTGTCCAGAAGGCTCATCCATCCGTTGCCGTGCCGACACCCCCTGGTACCCGGCCTCTCCAAAGCGCTCGCGAAGCACATCCATGGTATAGTCACCCGGGGCAGTAGAGTAGCTCCACTCATCATCGTCATCCCCGGTCACTCGCCTTTCCCTCCACCCCAAGAGAGACGACCTGGTTGGGGGGTTGCAGGGCCGGCCAATATCCAAGGACGTCAAAGCAGGGCTCTGCCACCACTTCCCCCTCGCTCTCGTAGCCATGGTCTCCTGGGACTCGGCCAGGGCCCAGGTGCCTGAATGGCCTTTGGTCTCACTGTCGCCTGTGCCACCTGGGCCTCGGCCGTGTCGGCAGAGTCAGCTGTTTCAGCTGCTGCAGCCTCCTCCACCTGAGGAGAGTCCTGTTTGCCCTCCGCCATTCCCTTCAGTTGGGGTAAAGGCAAGGAGCAGCAAACGTAAATGAGTGCTGACTTATTGTCACGCCGTCCCGATGAAAGAAAGACAGGAACGCAGGAATGAAGTGCAAGTCAGGTAGTTTAATCCCTAACAAACAAAGTCAGCACAGGGAGTGGCTTGCTCCCAGTGTTCTTATATAACAGTGCCACACCCACAACCCCACCCTCCACCCACTAACCACCATCCTCCCAGCTGCCTTCAAAAGTCCGTTTGTCTGGCCCTGGCCCTCCCCCAGCTGCACCCCACCCCTCTGGCCTGTCTCCTGTCCATGCAAGATGCTTCCTGCTGACGCGCTGCTTCCAGGCTCCTCCAAGCCCCCGTGACCTGCCACCGGCTTTTCTTCTGGTAATAATGAATGCTCTGTACTGCACGGCCCCTGTCTCTGCACCTTCCCCCCCCCATGTCCAGCTATCGCACAGCCATTTGTGCTGTTGGGAAGGAGCCCCAGCCCGGTTCCAGTGTTGCGCCGATCTGCACATGCCATCCGATGATCAGCTGGGTGGCGGATCGGCGAGGCACATGTTGGTCGGGCTCCACACGGCCGCAGGCCGTCTGACGATCAGCTGGGTGGCAGAGTGGTGAGGTTTGGGCTTTCCGGGTGACGTCCAGCTGGGCTCAGTGATGTTCTGCCGGCCTCCGACGCTCAACCGGCCGGCAAGAGGGAGGGGGGGTTTCCCTGGTGCTGGCTGATGCGAGGACCCGTGCAGCGTTGCAATTGTGTTCGGCAGCAATGGACTGGTTTCCGACTTCCCCCCACCAGTGAATGGCAAGCCCCGCAGGGCTTGACACCCAGTAGATATGGTCAATAACCTGACCAAACGCCGAGTAGACGGTAGCCCCTTACAAGGAACAAAATGGGCCTGTTTGGAAAACAAGTCAATTACGGTCCAAATAACCGTGTACCCTCAGTTCTCTGGTAAATCTACAATGAAATCCATGGCTATAACCTCCAAGGGTCGGGTTGGATCTGCTACTGTCTGTAATACACCCAAAGGCTTTCCAGTACGGGGCT